GTGCTATGGCATCACAGCTCACAGCAACCTCCAACTCCTGGGCTCAATCGAGTTTCCTGCCTCAGCCTCCCAAGTAGCTGGGACCACAGGCGCCCGCCACAATGCCTGGCTATTTTTTTGTTGCAGCTGTCATTGTTTTTGGTGGCCCTGGGCTGGATTCAAACCCGCCACCTCAGGTATATGTGGCTGGCACTTTAGCCACTTGAGCCACAGGCGCCGAGCCGAAATTATCTCTTTTATTTATTGTTGTAGAGCAGTGCTATGTAGTGGGTAATAGGAACACTATATAAGGGGTGGTGCCTGTAGCTCAAGGAGTGGGGTGCTGGCTCCATATGCTGGAAGTGGTGGTTTCAAACCCAGCTCCGGCCAAAAACTGCAAAAAAAAAAAAAAAAAAAAGAAAGAAAGAAAGAAAGAAAGACTAAGTTCTAAAATTTAAGAACAGGCAGGGTTGGGCATGATGCCTGTTATCCTTAGCATTCTGTGAAGCCAATGTAGGTGGATTGCTTGAGCTCAGGAGTTCAAGATGAGCCTGAGCAAGAGCAAGACCCTGTCACTACTAAAAATAGAAAAACTAGTTGGGCATAGTGGTACACACCTGTAGTCCCAGCTACTCGGGAAACTCAGTTGAAAGGGCGCTTGAGCCCAAGAGTTTGAGGTTGCTGTGAGTTATGATGTCACTGCACTCTACTTAGAGTGACAGAGTGAGACTGTCTAAAATAAAGAGTCTCGCTCTTGCCCAGGCTATGCTGTGGCATCAGCCCAGCTCACAGCAACTTTAAATTCCTGGGCTCAAGTGATTCTCCTGCCTCACCTTCCCAAATAGCTGGAACTATAGGCACCTGCTTAACCATGCCTGGCTCATTTTTCTACTTTAGTAGAGATGGGGTCTCATTCTTGGTCAGGCTGGTCTCAAACGCCTAAGTTCAAGGGATCCACCTGACTCAGCCTCCCAGAGTGCTAGGATTACACAGGGGTGACCCACCACACCCTGCCTCATTTTAACTTTTAAAGCATAATCACCTCAAAAGGATTAATATCTTTAGTACCTACCATCTGGTGCATGCTAACTGACACCATCATTGAGAGCAACAAGCACTCTGGTTAACATAGATCTCAGAACTTACTTTCCTTTTCATTCACTCAACAATGATTAAGAATGAACTACAGGGGACAGTGCCTGTGGCTCAATGGGTAGGGCGCTGGCCCCATATACTGAAGGTGGCAGGTTCAAACCTGGTGGCAGGTTCAAACCCAGCCCAGGTCAAACTGCAACAAAAAATAGCCAGGTGTTGTGGTGGGCGCCTGTAGTCCCAGCTGCTTGGGAGGCTGAGGCAAGAGAATTGCCTAATCCCAGGACTTGGAGGTTGCTGTGATCTGTGTGACGCCATGGCTGAGGGCAATAAAGTGAGACTGTCTCTACCAAAAAAAAAAAAAAAAAGAATGAACTACAGGGCTTGGCACCTGTGCCTCAAGTGGCTAAGGTGCCAGCTACATATACCTGAGCTGGTGGGTTTGAATCCAGCCGGGGCTGCCAAACAACAATGACGGCTGCAACCATAGCTATAGGCTGCACCTATAGCTCAACCGGCTAAGGCACCAGCCACGTACACCTAAGGTGGCGGGTTCCAATCCCCAGCCCGGACCCGCCAAACAACAATGATGGCTGCAACCAAAAAAATAGCCGGGCGTTGTGGCGGGCGCCTGTGGT